TTTGTATATAAGTTAAATAATTTTTATATTGACTGTCCCCTGCTTTTAGATTATCTTAATTTTTATGTGCCTCGTTTATCGAGTAGAAGTAGTCGCACGTTTTATTGCACCTTTAATAGAAGTAATGCCCTAAAGAGATCGCCTATCACGGTTGCTTGCTCCAACTTTAATATATTTGCGAAAGATTGTGATCTTAACTTCGATTCCTTAAAATGTATTCTAGGTAAAGCTGTTCTCGAGTTTAGCAAAAAATAGTTTATCTTTATCTAATTAGTTTATATATTTTTCTATATGTTTTTGTGCGCATCTGTACACTTATTTGTTTATTGTTTTTTATATATGTATTTTGTATTTTTTTCTTTTGCCTACTTGTGGCTTATGCTGTTTGGCAAATATATATCTATTAAAAGGACGGAAGAGAATGAAAAGGACGAAAAAGAACAAAAATGATGAAAAAGGACCAATAGGACGAAAAAGGACCAAAAGGACGAAAAAGACCAAAAGGACAACAGGAACGAAAAACGACGAAAAAGGACGAAAAGGACGAAAAATGACCAAAAGGACAAAAAGAACTAAAAAGGACCAAAAGGACGAAAAAGACGGAAAAGGACGAAAAGGACGAAAAAGAACAAAAATGATGAAAAAGGACCAATAGGACGAAAAAGGACCAAAAGGACGAAAAAGACCAAAAGGACGACAAGAACGAAAAACGACGTAAAAGGACGAAAAGGACGAAAAAGGACAAAAAGAACTAAAAAAGACGAAAAGGACGAAAAGGACGAAAAAGGACGAAAAGGACAAAAAGGACAAAAATGAACAAAAATGATCAAAAAAGGACCCATAGGACGAAAAAGGACCAAAAGGACGAAAAAGACCAAAAGAACGAAAAAGGACGACAAGAACGAAAAACGACGAAAAAGACGGAAAAGGACCAAAAGGACGAAAAAGAACAAAAAGGACGAAAAAACCAAAAGGACAAAAAGGACGAGAAGAACGAAAAAAGACGAAAAAGGACGAAAAGGACGAAAAAGGACAAAAAGAATGAAGAGGACGAAAAAAGATGAAAAAGGACGAAAAAAGATGAAAAAGGACGAAAAGGACGAAATTGAACGAAAGGGACGAAAAACGACAAACAGCACGAAAAGGACGAAAAGGACAAAAAGGACGAAAAAGGACGAAAAGGACGAAAAAGGACCAAAAGGACCAAAAGGACGAATAAGGACGAAAAAGAACAAAAATGATGAAAAAGGACCAATAGGACGAAAAAGGACCAAAAGGACGAAAAGGACCAAAAGGACGACAAGAACGAAAAAGGACGAAAAAGGACCGAAAGGACAAAAAGAACTAAAAAGGACCAAAAGGACAAAAAGAACTAAAAAGGACCAAAAGGACAAAAAGAACTAAAAAGGACCAAAAGGACGAAAAAGACGGAAAAGGACCAGAAGGACCAAAAGGACAAAAAGGACGAATAGGACGAAAAGGACGAAAAAGGACCAAAAGGACGAAAAGGACAAAAAAGTACGAAAAAGGACCGAAAGGACGAAAAAGAACAAAAAAGACGAAAAAGACCAAAAGGACAAAAAGGACGAGAAGAACGAAAAAAGACGAAAAAAGACGAAGAAGGACGAAAAGGACGAAAAAGGACAAAAAGAATGAAAAGGACGAAAAAAGATGAAAAAGGACGAAAAGGACGAAAAACGACAAACAGCACGAAAAGGACGAAAAGAACGAAAAGGACAAAAAGGACGAAAAAGGACGAAAAGGACGAAAAAGGACGAAAAAGGACCAAAAGGACAAAAAGGACGAAAAGGACGAATAAGGACGGAAAAGGACAAAAAGCACGAAAAGAACGAAAAGGACCAAAAGGACGAAAAAGGAACGAAAAAGAACAAAAGTGATGAAAAAGGACCAATAGGACGAAAAACGACAAAAAGGACGAAAAAGAACAAAAGTGATGAAAAAGGACCAATAGGACGAAAAAGGACCAAAAGGACGAAAAGGACCAAAAGGACGACAAGAACGAAAAAGAACGAAAAAGGACCAAAAGGATAAAAAGAACTAAAAAGGACCAAAAGGACAAAAAGAACTAAAAAGGGCCAAAAGGACGAAAAAGACGGAAAAGGACGAAAAGGACGAAAAAGGACCAAAAGGAAGAAAAGCACGAAAGAGGTCCAAAAGGTCAAAAATTCAAAATTTGGTCTTGGCTGTGATCGTCTGACAAAATAGAATCCTACATTGTGTTTTTGAAAAATGACGGGAGGCGTTCAGATGCAAGCAACACCAAATATATGAAGGACACAAAATTATTTATTCCTCCACTGCGCAAGTTGAAGACCTTCTTAGTGCTCAGCTACAAAAAAAACTTTGAATGACTTGGAATGAAATCAAAATCTGAAGTAAAGTAACTGAATGCAAATACCTACACATGATATTACAGACATGTCACAGCAAATTTAAAATTATAAGAGAACAAAATTTTAATAAAAAACTTTGCAGCGGCAGTGGCACAAGAACGCTATAAGAGTGTGGCGATCGAATTATGACGATTTCATTCTAAAGCAAAACAAAAATACCCACTAGCGGAGTTTGGGGCTCCTGGTCGTGGCTGTTGTTACACCGTGACGGTGATTCTATTCTATCGACAAGCACCCTTCTATGACCAAGAAACGTGCCGCGTGGAACAGGCTGTTACGGTCGCAAACTCGTGGTTGGGTTTCGACTATTGGCCCAAGTCGACAGCGTCACGTCATCCAGACCGTCCCTGACTTCTATGCAAGACTGCATCTTTTGTGCAGATGGTGCGGCCGCCAGCTCGACAAGGAACCGCGCACTCTGCTCCCGCTACGTGTTTCTGTGTTATTTAACTTCAATTCCCTTTAAATGTTCCTTTTCTATAACTCTGATATTAAACTACAACTGAACAAGTGTCAAAGTTTCAAAAGGAGCAATAAACAACATTTAAATTCGCCATACAAAGTTAAAATTGTGAGATAGAAAAAATTCAAACAAAGAGTTTACATTATGTTAAATTATGCCACACTTTATCTACGATTCAAACAAAAAATTTATATTATGTTACTTTATGCCGTGATCCAAGTGATTGGTTACTTAAAACAATTTATTTTGAGGGTTCATATCGTGGACTGTTTATCCCAAACAAAACACATGATAAATAAACACAAAATGCGTCCTGCGTTGCGAGGAAAAATCTCGCGGTGATGATGATAACGATGATAATAACTGCCTAAGGGTGAAAATTAATCTCTCAGCTCCTCAGTCTACGATAATCTAAATTCTGCCGCCTTTCTACGTTTTTTTTTTCCATAGTGCCGTAAATGAACTATTAGCAATTTTGTGTGAAGAATTAAGAAGTGTTATAATGTAACACTTAAGTATTAGTATCCAGAAACTTATTCATAATTAGCCAAACAAAATCAAACGAGTCCTGACAAAGTGAATTTCATAAAAACTCCTGTAAGTGTTCATCTAAACAAATTCCTGACTGTTAAATTGCGTTAGAACTAGTTAACGATTAAATTCCTAACATGAACTGTGAATTTACAAACAATGAATCAAATTTACACGTGTTAGCGTCGCATGCTTGTGATTAGAAAGCCGAAAGAATTAGCTCCGCGCATTGGGGAAACTGTGGCATCATCGTCGTTACGTTTAATTGTCGTTAAACAAAGGCTTCCTCCCTTTCATTACTTACCACGTGGTTTTTACTCACGCCACACAATACACAGTGAAGCCTACCTTCATACCAAGCCGCCATCTTCTATCAAGACGCCCTCTTCAACCAACCTTCTAACTAAAATTTCAAGCAGAACTACCCACTACCCAAAAAGCGCTAACATGCACATGGTTGTCTATGCTCAACGATCTTTTTATTGATTTTTTTTCAAATTCAAATTATTCAAAGGCGATTTCGCGCCACTGTTAATTTTTTTAGCGCGAAATTTTAATTCAAATGTGGTCACCACAATATAAATACTTTGAAAATATGAAATCTTCATTGTTACCTACTTTAGACAACTGCGACGAGTTATTTTTTCATTGTGTTCATCGTGTTTGTTAATTCGTGGTTGAGTTCAGCTTTTTTCTACACAATCTTACAAGCAAGCAGTAGCCCCGCCCACCCGCCCTCTATATTCTTAAGAGGATATTTCATTTGCCAAAATCAGTCTTATTTTACTAAGTACTAGCCCCGCCCACTAGTCCTTTATTTTCTTAGAAGGTATGTCATTTGCCAAAATCAGTTTTATCTTAAGCAGGGTCTTATTAATTATTTGGTTATTAATAAACAAATTAAAAATCTCCAAGATTTCAAAGTATACGGTGTCGCACATTCAAAATTAAATAGCAAAATGTCAATTTATAATTTTGATTGTTTTTTCCAAAAATCTGGACGTTTCGGGCAAAAACTCAATGCAGATTCATAAACTACATGTGTAGAAGTATGTTATTTTATACAATTTAAAACCCATTTACTATGTACAATCACATTATTGGTGGGGATGATTAGACAAATTCTGACAACAATCGGCCTAGTACTTTCGGAGAATATTTGTCTAATAAAAATCCGGGACGGCAGACAGACAGACGGACAAACAGACAGACGGAAACGGGGAACCTATTTCTTCGTACTGTAACTGTAGGTGTTACGACAGGTCGAGAAAACGTAAAAGTAGAGACTAGAGAGTCGGCCGACAGACTTGATTACAATACTTCCTTCGCTTACGCTCGGAAAGTAAAAGTAATATTTGTTGGCCTCAACTTAAGTTGGCGACAATGAATCTTTTAATTTCCGACGAGAAAACAAATAATTTCTCCACCTACTTCAAAAATAGTTATAATCTTAATAATAAACCGCTTATTTTTAAAACTGAACAATAATGTGTATTCCATTTTGTTTTTTGCGAAAAAATATAGTCAACCAACTACACAAGACTTGACAAGCAGACCTCTGACAACCGTGGACAAGACAAATCACATTTTAGGGAAATTTGATGAGCTTTGACATTTAATTTGAAGGTTATGTCGACAACACGCGTGTAAATTGGAAACATATAGAAGACAAACCCGAAAAATAGTGAAAATATTTTAAAATGGCCAAACCAGTTATGAAGAAGAAAAAACGCGTTTCGAAAAAGTCGAAATTGTCGTGGCGAAAACATGTGAATATTAATGACGTTGAAGAATTTTTGGAAGATCAGCGCTTGGAAGAACGTCTGGGGTACATGTGTCACAAAACTTTGTAATAAATAATCACAAATAATTTTAGCCCCCCTCTGGAAACTCTAACCGATGATCAGTTGTTCAAAGTTGACGTCGAACCGTCTAAGCAAACAGTTTCATCAAAAGAGCGAAAAAGGAAGCGGTTTTTGGAACCACCAAGATGTTTTGCTGTGTTGCAGCCTCACACTAAAGTTCCTGATCCAATTAGAAAAAGGTAAATGAAGTTTAACAAGTCACCATTGTCATTTTTCCATGGTCATTTTTATTTAACCCGCAGAAATCGCGTTCGAACCAAAGAAGAACGAAAAAATGACTTAATAAAGAAAAAAGAGGCAGAAAATCGGGCTAAAGGTATTTGGAAACACCGAGAATTGCAAGCAATCCGCGATCAAAAAGTAAATGAAGAGAGAAAACAAAATGACCCTAAAAGGGGCGAATTTGTTCAAAATATATGGGACGCAGGTTACAAATAAAAATTGTATTTTGGTATGGAAAATAACGTCTATGTTTCAGATGATCAACTGACTGAAAATAATGGTTGGTTTTCAAAAAATACAGTAAAACACAATTTAGCGGGGACTGGTAAAATAAGAAAAACCGTCAAAGATCTTAAAAAAATCAAATCAAGCGTTTTACCCACAATTGAGATGCCTCATCCAGGAATGTCGTACAATCCAAGTTATGACGATCACCAGGATCTACTGAAAACGGTCGCCGAAAAAGAAATGAAAATAATTAAAGAAGAAGAACATCTCAATCGTGTCACTAGAGACATGTTTAGTAAAGTTACTGCAAAAAAGAGAGATGTAAGCAATTATTTACGTTGTTATAACAATTTATTACTTGTTATTTTTTAGTCAATGTGGCTACAAGAAATGTCTCAAGGTTTACAAAGTGCTAGCACAAATGATAATGATAATGAAAGCGACAGCGAGTACAAAGCTCTTAATCCACCAACAAAAAATAAAAAGAAAACGTTGCAGCAGCGGCGAAAACAACAAGAACAAATGCAGTTGGAGCTGTTAAAAAGGGCTGCGAAACTTTCCAAAAAGAAAATTTCTGACATCCACCAGCTGAAAACTTTGAATAAACAGATTGACAAAACTGAAAGTAAAGCAAAGATTTTGAGGGAAAGGCGTCTTAAAAATTTGTTATTAAAAAAAAAGGAACCTAAACGCTTGAGCGCGATCAAGTTTGAAGAAACTGAGTTGGACTTTAACATGGGGCCTGATATAACTGGAAATTTGAGGAGTTTGAAGAAAGAAGGGAATTTATTAACGGAAAGATTTAAAAGTTTGCAGAAGCGAAATGTCATTGAGCCTTCAGTCAGAAGACGCAGAAAGAAGAGTAAAGTTAAAGTGTACACAAAACCAGGACACAAAGAGGACTGGATTACAACCGTAGCAAGATAACAGGCATAGAAAATGTAATTTATTAATCAATCCTGGAAGTCAGTATAGTACAGTATATCAAGACTTTCAATTTAAGTAAATAATGTAATACGTTATTGCTGTTTGATTAAATTCCATCCAAAACCTTATGACTAGGAAAATATCATGGCACTGCTAAATCAACTTTGGTCATGTTTAACTCAATTTTTTTAGTAATAATAATAAATATGGAATTTAATCATTTAACATTTTTTGTACACACACACATTGAAAATTATCAGTCCCATAGAGTTTAATGAACACAAACAAAATCACTATCTTTTATTTAAATTCTTCCATATTTTATGTACTTTTGAATTGTCATCAAACAAACTTCTGACCATTATCACTTGGATAAACCCAACAACAAGCATGGTGCAAATCTGCACCATGGAAAACGTATTGACTTTGAAAAAATTCTCCTCAACGACATTCCTGTCTCTTGCTTCAAGCGACTTGAATAACTCTTGCATGTGCCGCACTTTCGATAGGTGATTCCTCACATTAGTTATAACCTGTTGAATATCTTGCACCTTCATTTCATACACATCTTCCGGTCGAAGCCCCTCCAAATCAATATTTTCATCACTCCCCCACTCAGAATTATCATCTCCTTCGACAATTAACTCAAAAAACACGGTCTTGGCGTTGTACGAACTGAACGTGTTGTCGAAACAGAACTTGTAGTCTCCTGCCAGCGCCGCATCAATCCGATGATTGTTCTCGCTTTTTTTATAATCGGCTACGAGGATCCTGCCAGAGGGATCGACCAAGTGGAAAGTGATGTCCAAGTCACCGTGCCCTCCGTCGATCACTTGATACTCAAAGTCTATTACGTCGCTCACTTTGGCCGCCTGAAAAAAGCAGTCTTCTTTTCTGGGGTCTACGTTGACGGTCATTTCTCTTTCCAAACACACGATGGATTTAATTAATAAAAAAATCAGCAAAAATAAGTAAACTCGTGTCATGTTGACGCCACGTTTTATGTTTGTTTAACTGCTAAAATATTAATGGCAACTTAACCGGTGTGTGTATAATAAAAATCATTAAAAAAATTTCATGGCGCAGTAAATGTCAAAATTGACGTGTTGGCTGATGACACGCAGGGGCACCACCAGCTCGGTGCGTCAATGTAAATGTCCCCAAATTGATTGGCTCTTTAAATGAGCAGCGGAAATCCGCGCTTTATTATTTATTGTAATAAATACGAGACTTCGAGATTCTTTCAAACTAGATACTTCAAAAACTAGACACGTGGATTGCTCGAGATTTTTTTTAATTACTTCAAAAACATGACCAGGGATTTCCGAAATTCTTTCAAACTACTTGAAAAACCAGACACAAAAGGTCCCCGAGATTTTTTCAAACTACTTCAAAAACAGAAGGGACCCCCGAAATTCTTTCAAACTACATAAAAACAAAACACATGGGGTCTCCGAGATTCTTTCAAATTACTTCAAAAATCAGCCACAAGGGATTCCACGATGCTTTCAAATTACTTCAAAAACAAAACACAAGGGGTCTACTAGATTCTTTCAAACTACTTCAAAAGCGAAGCACAAGGGATACCAAGATTCTTTCAAACTACTTCAAAAACAAAACACAAGGGGTCCCCTAGATTCTTTTAAACTACTTCAAATACCAGACACAAGGGGTACCCGAGATTCTTTCAAATTACTTCAAAAACAAAAGGGACCCCCAAAACTTTTTCAAACTACTTCAAAATTAAGACACAAAAGGTCCCCAAGATTTTTTCAACTACTCCAAAAATAAAAGGGGCCCCCGAAATTTTTTCAACCTACATAAAAACAAAACACGTGGGATCTCCAAGATTCTTTCAGATTACGTCAAAAACCAGGCACAAGGGATCCCAAGATGCTTTCAAGCTACTTGAAAAACAAAACACAAGGGGTTCCCTAGATTCTTTCAAACTACTTCAAAAACCAGACACAAGGGGTACCCGACACTCTGTCAAACTACTTCAAAAACAAAACACAAAAGGTTCCCTAGATACTCCAAAAACCAGGCATAAGGGATCCCAAGATGCTTTCAAACTACTTCAAAAACGAAACACAAAGGGTCCACTAGATTCTTTTAAACTACTTCAAAAACCAGACACAAGAAGGGTACCCGAGATGTTTTCAATTTACTTCAAAAACAAAAAGGGTTCCCGAAACTCTTTCAAACTACTTCCAAAATAAGACACAAAAGGTCCCCGAAATTCTTTCAAACTACTTAAAAACGAAACACATGGGGTCTCCGAGATTCTTTCAAACTACTTCAAAAACAAAACGAAAGGAGCCCTAAAATTCTTTCAAATTACTTCAAAAACCAGACGCAAGGGGTCTCCAAGATTCCGTTAAATGCTTCAGGAACAAAACTCAAGGTGTCCCCAAGATTCTTTCAGATTACCTTAAAAACAAGCCCTTTAGGGATCTCCGAGATTCTTTCAAACTACTTCAAAAACCAGGCACAAGGGATTCCAAGATTCTTTCAAGCTACTTCAAAAACAAAAGGGGCGCCCGAAACTCTTTCAAACTACTTCTAAAATAAGACACAAAAGGTCCCCGAAATTCTTTCAAACTACTTAAAAACGAAACACATGTGGTCTCCGAGATTCTTTCAAACTACTTCAAAAACAAAACGAAAGGAGCCCTAAAATTCTTTCAAACTACTTCAAAAACCAGACGCAAGGGGTCTCCAAGATTCCGTCAAATGCTTCAGGAACAAAACTCAAGGTGTCCCCAAGATTCTTTCAGATTACCTTAAAAACAAGCCCTTTAGGGATCTCCGAGATTCTTTCAAACTACTTCAAAAACCAGGCACAAGGGATCCCAAGATTCTTTCAAGCTACTTCAAAAACAAAAGGGGCTCCCGAAACTCTTTCAAACTACTTCCAAAATAAGACACAAAAGATCCCCGAAATTCTTTCAAACTACTTATAAACGAAACACATGGGGTTTCCGAGATTCTTTCAAATTATTTCAAAAACCAGAATCAAGGGATCCCAAGATGCTTTCAAACTACTTCAAAACCAAAACACAAAGGGTCTCCGAGATTCTTTTCAAACTACATACTTCAAATCCAAAACAAAAGGAGTCATCGAAGTTCTTTCAAACCAGTCACAATTAAGAGGCCTCCGAGTTTCAAACTATTTCAAAAACTAGGCAAAGAAATCCCCGAGATTTTTTCAAACTATTTCAAAAACTAGGCAAAGAAATCCCCGAGATTTTTTCAAACTACCTCAAAAACGAGACACAAGAGGCCCTCGAGATTTTTTCAAATTAGGTAGTTCAAAAACAAAAGAAAAGGGGTTCCCGTAATACTTTCAGAGTGCTTCAAAAACAAAACTAAAGGAGTCTCCGAGATTCTTTCAAATTACTTCAAAAACAAGACAAAAGATCTCCAAGACTCTTTCAAACTATTTCAAAATCAAAACAAAAGGGGTCCCCGAGATTCTTTCAAACTACTTCAAAAACAAAAGACAAGAGGTTTCCGAGATTCTTTTAAACTACTTCAAATCCAAAATAAAAGGGGTTATCGCAGTTCTTTCAACTTCAAAACCAGGCACAAGGGGTCCTCTAGGTTCAAACTATGTATTTCAAAATCTAGCCAAAGAAATCCTCGAAATTTTTTCAAATTACTTCAAAAACCAGACACAAGAGGCCCCCGAGATTTTTTCAAACTAGGTAGTTCAAAAACAAAAGAAATGGGGTCCCCGTAATAGTTTCAGAGTGCTTCAAGAACAAAACGAAAGGAGTCCCCGAGATTCTTTCAAATTATGTACTTCAAAAACAAAACAAGAGATTCCCAAGATTCTTTCAAACTATTTCAAAATTATAACAAAAGGGGTCCCCGCGATTCTTTCAAACTACTTCAAACCCAAAACAAAAAGAGTCATCGAAGTTCTTTCAACTTCAAAACCAGGCACAAGGTGTGCCCGAGATTTAAACTATTTCAAAAACTAGGCAAAGGAATTGTCGGGATTTTTTCAAAGTAGGTAGTTCGAAAACAAGACAAAAGGGGTCCCCGAGATTCTTTTAAACAATCTCAAACACAAAACACAAAAGATCTCTGAGATTTTTTCAAACTACATACTTCAAAAACAAAACAAAACAAGTCCCCAAGATTCTTTCAAACGACTTCAAAAACCAGGAACAAGGAGTCCCGAAATTTTCTCAAACTATTTCAAAATCAAAACAAAAAGAGTACTCAGAATCTTTCAAACTACTTCAGAAAACAGGTACAGAGGGCCCCAGAGATTCTTTCAAACTACTTCAAAAACCAGACAATTGAAGGCCCGAGATTGTTTCAAATTACTGAGAAACCATCAGGCAAAGAGATTTCCGACATTCTTTCAAACTATTTTAACAACCAGGCACAAGTGGCCATCAGGATTCTTTCAAACTACTTCAAAAGCAAAACACAAGGAGTCCCTGATCAGATTCTGTCAAAAATTGCTTCAAGAACAGTCCACAGAAAAATTCCCGAGATTCTTTCAAATTTCTTCAAAGGCAGAGGCGAATTCGGCCATCTGGAAATTGGAAATTTTCCATAGACACCAGCAGCCGTGGTAGACCACAGTGTTCGAATAGGTTTTTTAAATGAAGTATATTTCGTTGGTCTTCACTCTTCAAGCTGATTCAACAGGACTCACCTGCCTCTGATAATAAATCACATTTTTACTTCCTGTCGTCTGAACGAGTTTTATTAGACAGACAATCTCAGAAACTACCGGACTGATTGTGGTCAAAATGTAGGTGTATTCAGGAATTTTATTTAATAAATTCAGTTTAAATTTGATAAAATAACATATTATTGTATTTGTGATTTATGAATTTGCTTTGATTTTTTACTTTAGCATACAAATTTTCATTAAAAAAATTAAACTTATCCTGTCCGCATATATTAATGAAAGAGAACCCAACGTGTATGGCCCATTAGCTCAGTTGGTTAGAGCGTCGTGCTAATAACGCGAAGGTCGCGGGTTCGATCCCCTCATGGGCCAGTTTTTTTTTTCCTTAAACTGTGACTGATTTATCTATTTTTTTTTCTTAAAAAACTCGATATGGTTGATTGTACTTCAGGCGCAAGGGAAGTTTTGTTTAATAACATTAATCCAACATTTTCACTTTTATTATTATTCGCTACCAGAGATTTCTTAGTAACTTAGTTACATAGTTACTAAGAAATCTCTGTTCGCTACTGTGTTCGCTACATTATCGACATTTTTGACATTCGATTATGACCTGTTCTGTGATTTTGACATAACAACATAACCTACAAATTACACGTGTTGACTCTTGCATATTTTAGTGTGATTTTAGTTGTCGTTTTAAGTTATCCGGTGCATGTTTTCGGCAGTTCCTCCGTTTCAGCGATACATTTAAATGAAAAAATGCCCAAAGGAAGCAAAATATTCTTACCTTGCCGCAGCCTAGGCTACGTAAGCAACCACCTACCCTTACAAGTCCGCTACATAAAAAGCCGCAAAGAAAACTTGATCGTAACATGTGTGGGAAAATCGTTCCACACTTACGGAATATCGCACTTCGGTTTATTGAGTGTCGGCGGTCTACACCCGGAAGATATAACAGCAATGACCGCTGATGCCTTCCATGTGTACACAGCATGCGGTAACGAAATCTACGCCTGGAGAAGAGGCACAGAGCTAAAACACGTGTACAAAAGTCACAGAAAACCCGTGCATTTGTTGTTACCGTTTGGGGCTCACTTAATATCAGTGGACGAAAGCAGCGGTGTTCGAATATGGGACATCAAGGAAGAGACGGTTTTTCTCGAACTTACATTCAGCAATAAAACGTTCCAAATTACTACGATTATGCACCCCAGTACTTACATTAACAAGATTTTACTGGGGAGTGAGCAAGGGGAGATGCAATTGTGGAATATTAACAATCTCAAGCTGATTTATTCTTTTAAAGGGTGGAAATCTGCAATTACTTGTTTGGAGCAAGCGCCAGCTATAGATGTAGCGGCGATTGGTTTAGCGAACGGGAAAATTATTTTACATAATTTAAAATTCGACGAAACTGTGATGGAGTTCATGCAGGATTGGGGTTTGGTTACTTCTATTAGTTTTCGAACTGATGGGAGCCCCATTATGGCGACTGGAAGTGTTGTGGGACATGTGGTGTTCTGGGATTTAGAAGAACGCAGGGTTGCTAGTCAACTACTGTCCGCACACAATGGGGGTGTTACTGGGATGGTGTGTCTTCCCAATGAACCATTGATTCTTACATCTTCCCCTGATAATACTTTGAAATTGTGGATTTTTGATATGGCGGATGGTGGGGCCAGGCTTTTAAGGCTTAGAGAGGGTAAGATTGTACAAATATTTAAGTCACAATAATAATAATAATAACAATAAAATTTCATAGGCCATTCAGCTCCACCTTCATACATTAGATTCCATGGTGCCAATGGTCACAACATTTTGAGCTCTGCTGGCGATTCCACTCTTAGAATATTCAACACACAAACTGAACAATTTAATAAAAGTCTGGGAAAAGCGTCTTACAATAGAAAAGTGTCAAAAAAACGCGGGCGAAGTGTGGAAGATCCATTAGTTATGCCACCTATGACACAATTCACGTCTGAAACAACCAGAGAGAAAGAATGGGATAATATTGCTGCAGTGCATTTAGGGATACCAATGGTCACCACATGGTCCTATGACAAATTGAAAATGGGAGAACTGAAACTCCTTCCTGAGAGATTCCAGAAAAAAAAAATTAATGTTAACGGGTTTCAAGATGTTGCTGCAACGTGTTTACATTTAACACACTGTGGAAATTTTGTTCTTGTGGGTTACAACACAGGTCATGTTGACAGGTAAACCGTTGTATTATTTTTATAATTTTTGGGTAATTGTTTAATGTTTAGGTTTAACATGCAGTCAGGCCTTTGGCGCGACTCTTATGGCAGCCCTAAAGCACACGACTCATCAGTAAGGGGTGTAATCACGGATTCTCTAAACCAACTAACAACCACTGGGGGAAGCGATTGTAGAATAAAATTTTGGAGATTTAAAAATAAAGGTGACAGTCCGTTGTCGGTTATAACCTTGGAAGAACCAATCAGCTTTTTCCGTTCACACCAAGAAAGCTGCATGGTAGCAGCAGCTTTAGAAGACTTCGACATTTACGTAATAGATATAGAAACGAGACGAGTGGTTAGAAAATTTGTCGGTCATACCGGCCAAATCACAGACATGACCTTCAGCCCAGATTCCCGATGGTTAATTAGCGCTTCCATGGATTGTACCATCAGAACTTGGGATATTCCGTCGTGTCAATTAGTTGACCAATTCGCTACAGAGGTCGCTTGCGTCTCTCTCAATATGTCACCAACTGGCGAAGCCTTAGCCACTGCGCATGTCGACTATTTGGGAATATTTCTATGGACCAATCGCACCTTGTATTCGAAAATCACCTTAAAAGCACTAAATCCGAGCGATGAACCCCAACTAGTGGCTTTCCCTGAGTGCCTTAAAGAAAGTCAAGAGGAAATTGAAGACGTTAAGGAAGAACCAGACGAGTTTCTATCACCTGAGCAAATTAGCCACAATCTCATTACACTATCAGGTTTAGCCACGTCAAGGTGGCAAAACTTGCTAAATCTAGACGTAATCAAAAAACGAAACAAACCCAAATCGCCACCCAAAGCCCCAAAAGCGGCACCGTTCTTTTTGCCAACTGTAGCGTCTTTAAATTTCCAGTTTGATTTAAAGCAACCAGAAACTGATAGCAGCAGTAAATTGTTAATTCCCGCGACGTTATTAAATTTAACAGATTTTGGAAAAATGTTAGACAGAACGGGAGAAAGCGGCGATTTTAGCGAGGTCATTTTAAAATTGAAGTCGTTCAGTCCGTCAATGATCGACTTTGAAGTTAAGTCCCTGGCCCCTGAAGGAGGGGGTTCAGTTGAAGTAATGTTACAGTTTCTCAAGTGCATTGAGTTTATGTTGAAATCAAACAGAGACTTTGAGTTGGCTGAAGCGTATCTGGGGGTGTTTTTGAAGTCACATGGAGCGGTTGTCGCGAGTGAAGAAGTGTTGAGGAACTATTTGACCAATATACAGAGTTGTCACTCTGTTGTGTGGAACAGGTTGCAGGATAAACTGTTGTATAGTATTTGTGTTCTTCAGAACTTATGTAAATAAATTATTTTGTTGTGGCGAAAATTTTCTGCGCATGCGTATCAAGTTCAACATAGTAAGGTTATAATCTGATAAAAGTCGGCAGTTTTTAAAACATGAAGAATACCGTGTTTATTTTTTGTTGTATAATCATACTAAGTGTATCCAGTTCAAAAAAAGCCAAGGAAGGTGAAAAACCAGAATGGGCTAAAAAAGACATCAGGGATTACTCGGATGCTGACATGGAAAGACTGCTAGAGCAATGGGAAGTTAGTAAAATTGTCTTTAATAGCGACAGTTGTAACGTCATTAAAATTTTTGATAATAGGAAGACGATGACCCCTTGGAAGAGGACGAACTACCGGAACATTTACGTCCAATGCCCAAAATTGACATAAGTAACTTGAATCCTGAAGACCCCCAAAGTCTGCTAGAAGCCACGAAAAAAGGGCGCACTTTGATGACCTTTGTTAGTGTTGTGGGAAACCCTACAAGGGACGAAAGTGAAGAAATCACAAAACTCTGGCAGACTAGTCTTTGGAATAACCACATACAGGCAGAAAGGTGCCAACTTTGAAAAGTTAGAACCACAATGACACTGTTGTTTCAGATATATGGTTGACGACAACAGGGCGATATTTTTGTTTAAAGATGGCTCACAGGCATGGACTGCCAAAGAGTACCTTATAGAGCAAGAAAAATGTGAGAGTGTCACTATCGAGGGAAAGGTATATCCAGGGAAATACTCAAACAACGTCAAACAAGAGTTATAACGTAATATTTTTATATTTTGTTACATTTTTAAATAAAAAGCTATCACTTGCTTAACCTAGTCTCGTTGGCGTTAGCAACTTCTTTCTGTAATTCGCTCACTATTGTGGCGAGAACCTCGGGATTAATACCAGCTTCACACAACCGTACACAAATGGATAACGTTTCAGCATCTAGTCCAGTACACAGCAATCGAGACAATTCCATAAGAGCTTGAAACGTCTCTTTGGCATCTTTAATTTTCGCCAGTTTTGTACTAGACATCTGTAAAAGCGTAATTAGCAACAACAACGACACCAAAATAGACATACCGTGCCAAAATAATTTCAAATTTTGTAGATTGAATTTAAACAATTAAACGTCAAATTGACAGCTATTTTTTCTTAAACAAACTAGAGAGGCACCACTGGCTGTCACTTGTCAACTGTCATTGTAATTTGTGTCAGGTGCTTTTCAAGTCAGGTGATAGCCTCTAAATTTCTTCCCAAATAACTGAAGCAGATTTTCGAAAAAATGGCCCTACACGCTGCTATCAAAGGCAAATTAATTTCCGTCATCGGGGACGAGGTAAGCGCATTATTGTGCACGCTTTCATACATTGTTGTTCATTTAAGGACACTTGTGTTGGATTCTTATTGGGCGGAGTTGGTGAAATTAACAAAAATCGTCACCCTAATTTTCTGGTGGTCGATAAAAGTATTTTCCGTACGATTGCACAGTACGGACGGTAATGATTGTATTGTAGGTACTGCCGTCAGTGAAGTTGAGGAGTGTTTTAAGAGATTCATGAAAAGAGATGACATTGATATAATTTTGATCAATCAGAATATTGCAGAGATGATCAGGCACGTTATTGATGGACACACGTCGCCAATTCCTGCTGTTTTGGAAATTCCGTCCAAGGATCATCCGTATGATGCTAGCAAAGACTCAATTCTGAGGCGTGCAAAGGTAGGTGGGTGCAATTTGTCAATAATAATGCAACTGTGGAATTTTTAGGGAATGTTTAACCCAGATGAACTCATGTAAATTGTTCACCGTGTATTACTGGCATGTAGATTTAGACAAAAATATAATCTGTAAATACATTCCTCAGTAATTTGTGTGTAGAGAATACAAATTGTCACAAAACAATTTATTATAAATTAGTCTGTACAAAGTGTACAACTGGTTTTTATGTAAAAAAATCACAGTTTCCTAAATACCAACAGAGATCCAACTTCAGTGCTACACATTTATCAAAACAAACAATTGGTTGCATGCAAACATGGTTGGTAAACAAAGCTGTGAATAAATAAAAATAAATAAAAAATAATACTTTTTAAACACAATATGTGTAAATTATTCTTCCAAGTCTTCATCTTCATGGGCAGCAACAAAAATTTTCTGGCTTATTTCAGTCACCTTATCTGAAAAGAGGGGTCAGTTTGATACATTTGAATTGAGTTTTACATACCCATAAAACTTTGGTACAACATAGGTTTATCTTGCCACACTACTCCAAAGTAGTAAACAGGCACTCCTGATAACGTTATAAGTGCCCCCATTCCCACTTCAATGGGGGCTTCGAAACATGGTAAAATAATAAGAAAGATACAGATCAATACAAAAGCAATAGGAACTATTAAGTTCACTCTAATTGGTCTTGGGATGTCAGGCTTTTTCCACCGTAAATACAATAAACCTGACACTGATAACATGACGAAAAAGGATTCCACGACAGTGCAGTAGGTTATAAGTGTGTGAATGTCGTTAGTGCAAAGCATAAAAAGTGAAAGTATATTCTGAAAAAAAAAAACATTAATTAAATTTTAAATATTTTTTTTTACTTTTTTACCAAAAACACTAAGGAAGGCATTGGGGTGAATTTTTTGATGTTCAAGTGGGACAGAAATGTTGGAAAATGGCCATTTCTGGCACCTACATATAACATTCGAGACGATGTCATTATGTGAACACTTAGACCGCCAAATGCTGAAATAGCCACCATAACAGGGATTATCCAGGCGGCTTTTCCTAGAACGTTATTGCCAAACGTCTAAAAAGTTGCCATAAATTAACATTCTAATTTTTGAGTGAGATACAGTACCACAGCAATAGCATCTGATGATACCATAGCATCTGGTGTTAGAACTGACAAATATGCCATATTGGCTAAAACATAAATCATTGTGACCAAAGGCAGAGAAATGTAAATAGCTCTTGGAAGATTCCTAAAATCAAAATTAGACAACTATAACTATTGAAGAATTGTACACCTACACATAGGGATTCTTTAACTCCTCAGTCATAAAATTTAAGTAATTCCTACAATACTAGTATTAGTTTTTAATCAACTCAAACAATTTGAGTTACCATCCAGAATATGAAAAAATTCCAGAATAAAACGCCTTTGCTATTTTTCCAGGATTAGTACTTGTTCCTTCAAACGCGTTCTGGAAATTTTGTACATTCCCAAGCCCCATCCACACAACACCAATTATTATAACAAGAACCAAAGCTCCAATTTTGCAAAACATAAACACGTTTTGTATCTTAGTGGTAGTTTTCACGTTATAACCATTTAGAAACGTCAAAAAACAAATGGTAGCAGCCGCCATAAAAGTGGCACCATCTTCTGGTAAATTACACTGGTGGAAAAAGGGCTGGATAACGTATTTAGCGAACGTTAGCCCCATTATGGCGTTCGTTGTAGGGCTGCAAAACCACATGCACTTTTTTATTACCACAAAATAGTCACTTACACAAAAATTAAATTTGCCGCCCATAAATACAAAAATGACGGTAGAGGACCATATGCTTCATAAATGTAAGCATAGTCCCCGCCGGATTTTGGTATTGCTGTACCTAATTCAGCATAACAAAGGGCTCCAATCATTGATAAAAAGCCACACAAAATCCATACAACTAAGGAAAACCCAACTGAATTTACTTCTTGTATTATGCCCTTCGGCGAGATGAATATTCCTGTAACGGGAGGTTAGTGTGAGAAATCACACACAATCACGTACCTGATCCAAAAATTATTCCCAAAATGATCGCCACCCCTTCCAGAAGCCCCAACTGCTTCTTCATCTTCACTTTTTCTTCCACCATTTCTTCTCTCGGGGTTTCTGCAGGCGATATCAACCTATTTTCTGTTGGTGATTTAACTACTTTGGTATTGTTTGAAGGCATTTTGGTGAACTGTATTGTCTGACACGGATTCACGTTATAACGAAAAGTCGATTAGGATTACATCATTTACTTACTTTTTCAAATTGACTAGTCTGGGTCGATTTATCAGATCTTGTTATTAACTGGGATTAGTGGCTGTGTAATTTGATAATCCTACCGGTAAAATATCTAATTACTTTACTACATATGGTGCACGTGCATTTTTTAGGTTAGAACGATAACGTTACCATTTTCCGCGCGACTGAGCAATTGGGTCATAGGGGCAGGTTTGAATTTGGCGCTAAATAATATGACAGTTAAGGCGAATTGACCAATCACGGGAGGCAAATATGGCGCGTGAAAGGTGGATTAAATTGGATTAATTATTTCAAATGAATATTATTGACATAATTTCGATTTATATTATTATATAAACAAAGTAAACAATGATAGTACTTACGAACTTAAATAAACATTGATTTTTGAATTTACACAGTCAGATTATCGGTGTATATGCGTAATCTAACAACGTGTTAAAGTTGAACTGTTTATAATTAAGTGTCTCGTTAAACATTATTTGCATGTCGTGAATGTGTTTTATTTAACGAGGTCAACAGGACTGTAAAAAACCAAAATGTTGCTGTTTTTCAAAGTCTGACGTCTGACGTTTTTCATTGTTTGTCATTTGTTTGTGCATGTCATGTCAGCTGTTAACCTATATCTTTTAATTGATAAACAATGTGTTTAACTTACATTTTCGCGCATTTACACTAAGCACCATGCATTAGACATCATTTTAGTTGGGCAGCGTATTTGTAAAGTAAGTACATACGATTGAAGTGTACTAACTTTATCTTATCAGTTTTTATCACGACAAGGTGGGATATTTACCCAGTGGACCCGATCATTATTTCGTAATAGTTTCAGCACCATGGACACCGTCCTGAAACCCTTAACAAACCTAAAGTTGGGCTTAAACAATACTTTTGCCGGTAAAGAACCATGGCAGATTGTCACTTATACAACTACAACCGTTCTCTTCGTTGTGTGGCTCCACGACTTCGTGCATCAGGACGAGAGTAAAAATGTGTTGACCGCTAGTGTTAAGTATGACGGATTTGCTTGCAGGTGTCGTTCAAAGGGCGAAGAAGACTGTCTTTAAATTAGCCAAACTGATACCAAGTATACGTCAGAGAATTGACAACGAATTAAAGTCTGTGAGAGAGACGTTTGAGAAAAGTACGATTGAGAAGACTAAGCATCTGACATACACGACGTCGTTGCCGTCGAAGCGGTTGTCTCCAGAGGAGATTTTGGATGTAGTCAAGGAACATTTAAAGTTGGGTATGGCAGCAGTTTGTATACATGTTTAGACTTTACACTTGGCACTCCACTATATCTCAAATTTAGAATGATGGATATGGGTGACTTGCAATTGTTTTGTTTTTTTGTGATAAAGAAAAAGTTTTGTTTGTGAGTACTATTTCGTCATTGTCTTGCGTAAATTTTAAATGCTTTAACTTGATTTTAAAGGCGTCAGTAGCGTCACAAATATTACTAAATTTTGATATTTTTTTCGAAAATCAAGCCATGCAAAATTTTAATGTGACGTCATCACATTATTGGTGGGGATTAGACAACATATTTTGTTTTTCCAGGCGACTATGACTGGAAAGGCGGACTTGTCTCTGGAACTGTTTACTACCACAACCCAGATCTAATCAAATTGATAACAGATGTTTATGGCATGACTTCCTACACCAACCCCTTACACCCTGATGTTTTCCTGGGTCTTTGTAAAATGGAGTCTGAAGTGGTACGAATGGCCTGTAATTTATTCCACGGCGACGAAAATGCCTGTGGTACAGTAAGTGATTCATGACCTCACAAAACATTACTATATCGTTATAACTTAGATGACCACCGGCGGCACAGAATCCATCCTTATGGCCTGCAAAGCCTACCGAGACTACGCCCGCGAAGTCAAAGGAATACGAAAACCCGAAATAGTCCTCCCCAAAACAGCCCATTCCGCGTTCGATAAAGCGGCCCAGTATTTCCGTCTTAAAGTAAGAGCGATTCCTGTGGACCCTGTTACAACGAAAGTCAATATTAGAGCAATGAAACGTGCCATTAATTGTAACACGATTATGGTATGATTTTTGTGGTGTGTGCGGGTGTGTGTTTATTTTTTATCAGTTGGTAGGATCGGCCCCTAACTTCCCGTACGGAACAATGGATGATATTTCGGAAATTTCAGCGTTAGGAGTCAAATATAACGTGCCTGTACATGTCGATTCTTGTCTTGGCGGTTTTTTGACAGTTTTTATGGAAGATGCGGGATATCCTGTACCTTTGTGTGATTTTAGGTTGCCTGGAGTCACCAGCATATCCGCCGATACGCATAAGTATGGGTTTGCGCCTAAGGGATCGTCTGTGATACTTTACCGGGACGTGAAGTATGTTGAAACAATTGTGTGTTTGTAAAAACAATTGAATTTGATTGTAGATATCGTCACCATCAGTTCACTGTAACTACAGATTGGCCTGGAGGTGTCTATGGTTCGCCTACTGTTTGTGGTTCCAGAGCTGGCGGTAACATAGCAGTGTGTTGGGCCGCAATGCTTAGTTTTGGTAAAGAAGGTTACATTCAAGCTACTAGGGATATTATTCATACCACCCATTATATAGAAAAAGGGTACCACATATTTGAAAAAGTGACCCAATAAAATTACTCAAATTATTTGCTTCAAGGTTGCGAAGAATGAAAGGTATATTTATATTTGGTCAACCTGCTACAAGTGTGATAGCTTTGGGTTCTGAAGACTTCAACATTTACAGACTTGGGGGGGCTCTGAATGACCTTGGGTGGAATTTGAACGTTCTACAATTTCCTTCAGGGTGAGGCTAGTTTAAGGATGCACATACACAAATTATTACAGACGTGTGGCGGCAAATTTAAAATTATGGCAGTCAACAAGAGAACAAAATTTTAATAAACAAACTATGCAGCGGCAGCGGCAGGCAGAGTTTGGGGCTCCTGGTCGTGGCTGTTCTCCTACCCACGACGGTGATTTTATCTATCGCAAACACTGTCGCCTAGCAGTGCCTAGACGAGCCGGTCGTTACGGTCGCAAACTCGCAGTTGGGTCTCAACTATTGGGCCAAGTCGACAGCGTTACATCATCTCGACCGCCCCTGAATTCTATTCTAACCTGCATCTTTGTGAAGATGGCGCGATAAATCCCGCCAGCTCGACTGGGAACCGCGCACTCCGCTTCCACCACGTGTTTCTGTGTTATTTAACCTCAGTTCCATTTATATGTTCAATTCTTATAACTCTGATATTAAACTACAACTGAACGAATGTCAAAGTTTCAAAATTCGCCATACTATCTTGTGAAATGTTAAACAACAAATAATTCTTATTTGGGATTAAAATTGGACATCGGATAATTTATATGATGGAAACATTCATCAACAAAATATTTACAAAACAAAAACTAGCAAAGATTTATAAAAACAAAAGATCTGGTGTGAAATACAACTTGTGAAGATAAAATATTACTAAATAATAATAAAACTGTAGAGCATGAAAGTTTACGTTCAACTTAAATTATACAACAATGAAAATTACTGAAATTAAAATTGTGTGTTATAATGTAAGTAAGTAAGTGTAACACTTAAGTATTAGCATGCAGAAACCCCATTCATAACTTTGTTAAACAAAAGACTGAATCCTGACTCAGTGAATTTTACTAAATCTCGTGGTGAGTGTTTATCTAAATAAATCTAATGTCTGTTAAATTGTGTTAGCACCAGTTAACAAATAAAATCCTAACATGAACTGTGAATTTACAAACAATGAATCAAATTTACACGTGTTAGCGTCGGTTCAAAATTCACATTTGTTCCGATTAGAGAGCCGCAAGAATTAGTTGCGCTTCCTCCCTTTTATTAACTACCAAAACAACGAAATTAACCTAGCCAACTTACCGTCTCTTTTCCCCATGCAACAATGACGCTTTCACCTCTCTACCAAGCCGCCATCTTCTACCCTACCAACCCTCTTACTAGAATCCCCTAGCGAGCCACCACCTACCCAAAAAGCGTTAACGTCCACCTGGTTGCCTATGTTTAACGATTTTTTTTATTGATATATTTTTTTTTAATTCAAATTATTCAATGTGATTTCGCGCCGCTGTTAATTATCTTTCAGCGCGAAATTTTAATTCAAATTCGGTCACCACAGTATGTTAAGTTATTTGAGACAGGCGGCACACGTATGTGAGTATAGCATCCTTTTCGAGTAACTGGTCGTTTGGAAATGTCATGATTGTGTATAAAAAAGCGATGTTTAAACAAAAGTGTAGGCCTGCAGTTCTAGACAAAAACTTTCAAACTATACATTAGCGTAAACATATCTCAGTGTTATAACTTTGACGCAAACATAACCAAAAAAAGTTGATTTGTTTTCAACATATGGCCTCTATTTAAAGCTGTTGCTAATTCGTTGAAGCGTTACATATTTTTTGTGTCTATTTTAAATATAGTTAATTAAAATATCCGGCTTACTCATAGACGGTAACACATGATTGGAACAGTTTTAGAGTTAATTTGTGACGCCTGAAGACCTTGGAAAATGGTGTATTGAAATTTATGACGTAACTACATTTCCCTAAAGTGGGATTTATAAACTTGCTGATGACGTTGAAGTTCCCGTTGCTTTTATAGTTGAAAATTGACATTTATAAACTCCGTTGCCAAGGTGCCGTTGATAGTAACCTTGGTGTTACTTTTGCCGTATTTAAAGGGGTTGTAGAAGAAAAGTGGATGTTTTAAGTTTATTAAGTACTACGAAAATTTACCATTTTTGATATGTTTTAAGTTTCTTATTGGCGAAATAAGTGCACACCTATTAAGAAACAAGGGCTAAATGTAGCCCCGCCCACCCGCCCTATCTCAATTGTGATGATTTTTTTTATTCGTCGTGAGCCAAGAGGGCGGAGCGTAACTACAAAATCCATATTTCTCTACGAGAAATTAAAACGAAAGATTAGGCCCCACTCATACCCACCCCGATCTCAATTCTCAATTGTGATGAATTTTTCATTCGTTGTCAGATCATGTTTTAAGGTTTTTGTTCTGAAAAGACGACTAGGTATGTTAAAAAAAGGGCAAAATATAAGCCCCGCCCACCCGCCCTATCTCAATTGTGATGATTTTTTTTGTCGTCGGGAGCCAAAAGAGCGGAATTTAATTGCAAAATTCTTATTATTTCTCTACAAGAAAGTACCATGTAAGACACTTTTTAAGTATCGTGTTATTCAAAAAATACTATGTATATTAAAAAAAAATCAAGCCGAAGATTAAGCCCCACCCATACCTGCCCTAATCTAAATAGTAACGAAGTTTTCATTCGTTGGGAGACCTAGGGGCGGAGTCTAATAGCAAAATCCCTTTTTCTGTACAAAAATTTATCATTTGAAACGTGTTTTAAGTTTCTAAGAATAAAAAGTCATCACAATTGAGATGGGGGGGGGGGGTAACATTTTGCCTTTTTTTAAATATACATTGTATTCTTTGAACAACACGATACTCAAAAATATGTTTTTAATTTCTCCGCCCTCTTGGTTCTCGGCGAATAAAAAAAAATCATCACAATTGAGACAGGGTGGGTGGGCGGGCTTACATTTTGCGTTTTTGTTTTAATATGTGTAGTGTTCTTTTCACAACAAGGACCTTAAAACATGTTTAAAATGGAAAATTTGTATAAGGAAATATCGATTTTGTAATTTGGCTCCGCTCCATAATTGCAAAATCCATATTTCCTTGCAAAAATGTACCATTTTAACCATGTTCTAAGTTTCTTGTTGTGAAAAGATGGCTATGAATATTAAGAAAAAAAAAAGGCAAGATATAAGCTCCGCCCACCCGCCCTATCTCAATTCTGATGATTTTTTTTTATTCGTCGTGAGCTGAGGGGCGCAGCTTAATTAAAAAATCCTTGTTTTTCTACGAGAAATTACCATGGGAAATATGTTCTTAAGTAATAAGTATTATACAAAGAAAACCAAAAGAGAAGCCCAACTCATCCGTTTCGATCTCAATCGTGCTTATTAGTATTAGCTGGTAAAAATTTGTGCATAAAAATATGAACCCAAGTACGTCAATAAAACATAAAATTGATTTTAACGCCTCCGGTTTTACTGAAAATAAATAAGTTTTTTGTTATATAAATAGAAAATCGACCACTTAAATGTTAGGGTAATTTTATACACACACGCGAAGTATCGTTACGTAATAATCGATTAAATTGTCATCTAGATGGCAACATGATTGTGAGCATTATGGACCGATAAGAATTTTTCAATCCGTTTGGCGCATTATCTAATCTTACGTAACATTTCTATTACTCTGTTCAGAAAGCAAACAGGAAAACGAATAATTCCACGAAAAAATAAATCTGTGTTGAAAGCGGAAGTGATGCATCAGATTTATGGTCTTTCCAACCGGACGTGTAAATTATTTTCACACATTCTTTTTTGTGTCAATATTTGCAAAAATGAAGTGAATTATTTTTAAAAAAGTACGGTTATATTTTAGTATTTTATTTGGATGTTTGGCTCCAACAAAAATATTTTTGTCCGCTGTTCTACAAATTTACACTTGATTTCCTAGATTAGCGTACTCCAGTTTTTCTAAAATATGTTTTGCTTATTTTTAGGATCCATTTAACCGTTACACATGTTCACACCCAACAAGGCGTCGCGGACAAATTCTTGAATGATGTCCAAAACAGTCTTACGGAAATTTTGAAGACACCAGATGTACCAGTGGAAGGAAAAGTAAGATTTTCACAAGTCACTACGATTGTGTAATATCATTGTTATAGATGGCGATATACGGAGTGGCTCAAAGTTTGCCAGACAGGTCAATAGTCACTGATTTTACACGAGTGTTTTTAGATTCCATGTATTATACTCCCAAACAGTAACTAGGTACTTATACATCACACTATAAATGGTCTAATATATAATATATTGTACTGAAAAGAGGTAATAGATACATTTTATGGATTTAGTATTTTTCTGGAATCTCGTGCCGTCTAATAAAATTGCGACTACACCGACACTAGTTCTCGCCGGACTTAACACGTGCATCACGGTCCTGACACGTGCATTTCACCAATCCATTATTTTAAAGCAATTATGTGATTCAGCTATAAATCTAAGTAATTAGCGAAATCAAATTCCACTGCCCTTGAAACAATTCCGCTGTGTGTTCAGCACTCTCGGAAAACTTCATTTGTTTTATCAGTGATTAAATATTATCTAACACATCTAATAACGAACAATTTTATTAAAATAATTTCTATTAAATTACTCCAACATTTAATAACACAGACAAGAAACAATAAATAAAAGCGACACAATAAATCTACCATGTCATAACGATGTCATTAGTTCATTATATGAACAGTAATTCTTGTTTTGATCCTTAATACGACCTAAAACATTAACTACACCCCCTTTTCCACATCAATCGAACGCTGGTAGACCAAAAAGCTCGGGTTTAAAATCTTCCAAGGAGTTTATAATCAAAGTAGCGGGTTTTCTTCTCTCCTCTGGAACTCCAGAATCTGGAACCAACACCGCCTGCATTCCCGCAGTGATGGCACCCTGAGCACCATTAGGAGCGTCCTCCAGCACCAAACACTGCAACAAAAACCTTGATACCCCGAAACGGGAAAGAGTAATCACGAACCTGTTCAGGCTGCGGCTTATCTGGAAACCTGGAAGCACAAACTAAGAAGATATCAGGAGCAGGCTTCCCGTTTTTGACGTCAGGATCAGTGCTGCCGCAAACTATATGATGAAAGAGGGTGAACAGATTTTGGTGATCTTGCGTTTTAAGCTCCATGGCATCTTGAGCTGAAGAAGTCGCCACAGCTATGGGGATGTTGTGCTTGTGCAAATGCTGCACAAGTCGTTTCGCGCCTTAAACGATGCTTGCTAATTTGGCCCTTAATGGGTCGTTAACGCCTACCTGGCATGAGTGGGGGGTGCTGCAACTGCTCTTTCACTTTCGCCCTGTATATCTCTAGGAACTCGTCCACCGTGTAAGGTAAGCCCATTTCTTGGATGGCGATTTTCGCAGTGTCGGGTTCTGGCGTACCCAGAATCTTGATTTTGATGTCCGTGGTGTAGGGGCTGCCGAAGGGCGCACCGATTTCGCTGACTACCCTGTCATAAGCTGACTCAGATTCTGGAATTCAGCTGTGGTGAATGAATGGATATTTTCAGTGACTTGATTTAGATGGTTTGACTTGAAGTAAGTAGTTACCTATGATGAGGCCGTCCATGTCGAAAATTACGTGCGAGACTTTTTTGAATGGCATTTTCGCGGTTTTTTCGGGTTTTCGAGTTATGCGAACAGACGGAATCACCTTTCGATTTTATGATACACCACACTTCGCGGCGGTTGAGGTAATGACGCTAGTGGCGATTAGATAGTCTATGAATGACTAATGGGGATCTATGAATGATAGTTCGCAGGTTGGCTAAGAAAATAAATAGGGCAAGGTGACGTAAGTGGGACACATTTGTAGGATGCGTGATTCGATTCGGGTTAGGTGGAAACGGGAAAATGACGAAATTTCGTGTAATTATTTTATTCGCAGAGTGGGAATGAGCGGACGAAAAAATTTTAATTATGGCGAAACGAGACTGAGGTCAGTCATTTCGGGCGAAAATTGGGTGTTAAATGAAAAGAACGTGAAATAAAATTACTCCCGGCTGGATGAGACAGGACGTCGGGACGCAGGATGACGCTCGGCACATGCGCATTTGTCAAGGTTGTGTCAAACAAATTTACGAAATGTGTGCTGAATTGTAAGGTTATGTCGTTGATCCCTTTTGAATTATAAATAAAGTTTATTTCGGGTGGGTTTAGTTGGGTTGAAGGTTAAAGGTAAAATTCGACCATGTTTCTCACCAATGTCCTTCTGAAGAGGGTCAAAAGCAAGTAAGTTGACTGCAGTTGTCATTTCGGATGTCTTTTATAGTGTTACTTCTGTTTACTTAAATTTATGTGAAATGTTTGTTAATTTATAATATTTACTGGCATTGCAGTTCTCAGTGTTGAGGGTTGAAGGCCACTTTTATTAGCAAAGAGTATATTGACAAAGTAATGAAAATTTCGGGAAACAAATATATTTAACACATTTTATAACACCGCTAAAAAGATTACATGTTTGTTAAGTATCATCACTGTTATTTTGAGGAATGTAGTGTTTTCTGGACGTTTGATAGCTTGTAGAATGCGAAATTGTTGGTCCCTCATTTCTGCCTTGCCGGTCATAGGTGTCTAGACAAAAATCTCCAAAACTGCTGCGTTGCTTATTACGAAATTTAGATGCACTTTAAGCAGATCATATGGATGACCAAAATTTGTCTATTCATCCTCACCGAAAATTTGATTACGTCATTTTAAAATTTTGCTGAGTAAAGTTCACTCATTATGTTGTCGCATGCTCTTTATCGATTATCATGACACGTTTACGAGTCGTCGTAAAAAATAAAATTTTACATTTTATCTTAGAATTTGCTTTTATTTATGTACGTAAGAGATCACTTCATCATTTATTAAATCTAAGAAATGTTCTAAGGCCAATGTTGTTTGGTTTTATTAGACAGATAATCTCCGAAACTACCGGAACGATTGTTGTAAAATTTTATATATTTGTTACGGATATCAATATCAAAGGGATGCCGCCATCTCCAAAGTTTGCGGCAGTAAATGTTATTTAAATTTTCAGTCAAATTAACGAGTTTTGCCATTAATGTTACAGACGCATTATGGTTCAAATGGAAAGTGTAGTGAGTGGCCACACGTTTAACAAGATAAGAGAAAGATTAGCCGATAAACTGGAAGTTGTACGTTTCGATCCCTGGCGTAAGCACATCCTTCTAGGTATGCAAAACTTCAATTAATGTACGTTGTATGTTTTAGTCCAAAAGGAATGCGTATACAAGGAAGCAAAGAAAGTCAGAAGTATGGATAAATAGACTATAGTAAATTTGTAAATATAGACAATAAATCGTTTAATAAAACAATGCGACTTTTTTCATTTTCAAAACCAATCAGAACCGCTCAAACGCTGGTAGTCCAAAAAGCTCAGGCTTGAACTCCTCCAAAGACCCGAGTAAAAGTGTAGCCGGCTGTCTAGCTTCTCGAGGTATGTCGGGATCCGGTACTAGAACGACTTGCATCCCAGCTGCTATAGCACCCATGGCACCATTAGGCGAATCTTCAAAAACCAAACACTAACAACGCTATTATACACTGTCATAGTAAAGTCACACCTGATCGGGTCGTGGTTTATCAGAAAACCTAGACGCACACACTTGGAAAATATCAGGAGCGGGTTTTCCATTCTTGACTTCAGGATCAGTACTCCCACAAACTATGTGCTGGAAAAGAGAAATCAGCTCTTGATGGTCTTGCGTTTTGATTTGTAGAAACTCTTGAGAGGAAGATGTTGCTATAGCTATTGGGATGTTGTGTTTGTAGAGGTGCTGGATGAGTCTTTTGGCACCTGAATGTGTATTTTGTGACTAAATGAAAACAAATGGGGTGGTAGTACCTGGCATGAGTTGAGGGTGTTTGAGCAGTTCTTTCGCTCGTGGTAAATAGATTTCCAGGAACTGGTCGACGTTGTATGGCAGCTGCATTTCTTTGATTGCAATTTGAGCGGTTATAGGGTCAGGAGTACCCATCATTTTTAGTTTGGTGTCTTTTGTGTATTCAGTTCCATGGTTAAGTGCAATTTCGCTAAATACTTTATCGTAAACGGACTCGGACTCTAAAATAGTTAATAAGTTTTGTGACTGGAAGGTGGGTGGAGACGGTTTACCTATAATAAGGCCATCCATGTCGAAAATTACATGGGACACGTGTTTGAAAGCCATGGTAAATGTAGATAAGATTTACAAAGTCGTTTCACGTGGATCTCCTGAAGTGACCTGAGATAAGTCACAGACGCATGTCTGTTGCAATCAAGGTCACTACAGATACGTATAGTTGGTTGCAAAGTAAAATAACGTTTATTAAAAATAATAATTGTAATCTATAAAAAGTCTTGTCATTTCCTTTTGATAAATCTAAAAACAAGTTACATAACGACGACTAATAATTAACATTACTAATCGAAAGCCGGCAATCCGAAAAGTTCAGGCTTGAACTCCTTCAAAGAATTCAGCACCAAAGTCGCCGGTTTTCTCCACTCCTCCGGAACATCAGGGTCGGGTACCAAAATCACCTGCATCCCGGCAGCTACGGCACCTTTAGCTCCGTTTGGTGCATCTTCTAAAACCAGACACTGCCACCAACAATTAAATTTTCTAAAATTGCACAACAAACCTCGTCTGGGTGGGGTTTGTCAGGGAACCTGGAAGCACACACCAGGAAAATATCAGGCGCTGGTTTGCCGTGTTTAACTTCGGGATCGGTACTTCCGCACACCACGTGATGGAAGAGTGATATCAAGTCTAGGTGGTCTTGGATTTTGACGTCTAGAACGTCTTGAGCGGAAGATGTGGCCACGGCGATGGGGACGTTGTGTTTGTGGAGGTGTTCAATGAGCTCTTTGGCACCTGTACACACCATGAAGGTACTGGTTTGATAAGGGGAAGCAAATACCTGGCATAAGTTTAGGGTGTTGTAGAAGCTCTTTGGCTTTAGTTAAGTACTCCTCAAGGAACTGGTCAACAGTGTATGGTAGTTGTAGTTCTTTGATGGCGGTACTGGCTGTGACGGGTTCCGGGGTACCCATTATTTTTAGACGGATGTCTCGGGTGTATTCCTTGCCAAATTTTGCCGCGATTTCACCGATTACGGTTGCGTAAATAGATTCCGATTCTGAAAATCGATTATTTAATGGTGAATTGTTGGGTATTCAGTGTTACCTATTATTAGCCCATCCAGGTCGAAAATGACATGGGATACCTTTTTGAACGACATTTTGGATAAGTGGAACTTTTAATTTAGATACAATGCACTGAACGTGATAGGGGTCACCTTGTAAACTTAAAATAGCAAATTGACGAGATATTATCGTTTGAAATTTCCAAAATCGGCGGATTGACGTAATTTAGTTATCAATATCAATATGTGATCATTTGACACGTTCAGGTTAGAGGACCTTGAAAAGAAAGGAGAAGAAATTGTGAATGTGAATAGTCTTGTCCTTTTTGGCTGTCAATAGGAGCGATAAGGTGAAACGCAAGCGCATCGATTAAAATTAGCGTGAATGACCCGATTATCGATATGATTTCCATCAGTCAGGTGTATTTTTGGTTGCATAACATACTAATAATTGGGTTATCAATTAGGGTGCTTAATTAATAAATAATAACGATAAATAATTTATTCTTAATAACTTACAGTTTACATTTTTGAATAAGTCTGTATATTATAATACTGTGAAGCTACCTATTGCAAAATTATAAAGGCCCCATTATTTATCCAACTTTAAGCTCTACCAAATGTAACTCCGTTACTGTTTTCTGTCTGCGGGTCTCACATACTTGCCCCCTCCGTGCTTCTCCCACTCTTTATTAAACTCATTTTCTAAAATTTCCGCACCCCTCTTCCTCGTCAGCCCGGTTTCCTCCAGCGACAACTCGCACATCTGCATATCGTCCTTACCTAACAAACAAACAATAATCAACTCAAAGTTTCCCCAACCCGGGTTCTCACCAGCAACCAGCAAAATCGGGGGTTTCTCCGGATGCAGCTCGATCTGCCTCGCCACGTACTGCCCGTCGAAGTGGGCGTACCACCAGCCTCTCTTGCTGTTGTCGCCCCCTGGACGCACGAACGGTATGCGGAAGTACCTCTGGGAATTGTTGTCCAAAATTGGAGCCTTCTGCTGCAGTTTCGGGGTTCTGGCTGCCGATTCCATGACCGAACGCGGCGCACGTTCGTTTTCGTCCATGATGGTACGTTTGCGGTTCTTGGCCTTCCAGGCATGGTACACCTTCAAGCGGCGGTGGAATTCGTGGCGGCAAGCTTCCAGAAGTTCGATATCGCAGGACGTGTTGATGGTATCACGAAGCTCTGAGTACTTCCATTTGCTGAGGTCGTACTTGCCTTTGGCAAGAGCCGCTTGTTGGTTCTTGACGGCTTCGGATCTGGAAGGAATGCAGGGTTAGTGAGGGGAGGGGTGAGTTGGCGTGTGGCATGCAAGACCGGTGCTTATTGAAATTGTTTTTTTCACACGGTGCTTGTGATAGTACTCGTGGTTTATAATTACTTTGGTAACGTGGAAGCGTTTACACAAATCAGACGTACACACGAACAAAGCACAATTTTGACGGTATATAGACGTCAGCTAAGCAAATTTTTGAACTTTTGTCTAAGTAGTGCAAAGGTTAGTAGTTTGCTAAATCTATGTTAGTCTTCATAATGGTGAAATTGTACCTGTTGAGTTTGAAAGACTGCCTGGCTGAATCCATTCCACCGCTGAATCATGGAAACAAGAAGCATTGATATTGAGCTGCCACCACAATATACATATGTACAGTACGACGCAATAAAACACTAAAAAGTGGGTGCATTCTACCGGTCGCCAAAGAAGTACAGAAGGTACTAATTGTAATCATTTTTATCGCGACCAATAGAACGCTGAACGCAGGACAACAATACTTGAAACAATCGAACTCATACTTCCGTATCATCGGAGGACTTTCTTCAATCTGTCCGTTGCTTTCTTGTGCCAAACGAAGAGCGAGTTCGTGGTCTTGTCTCTCTTGCTCCAATCGTTCTTGGTAGCGGCGTTCGTCCAGCGCTTCTTTCGCCTGTTCTGCTTGAAGACGCTCTGCTTCTCTCCGGTCCGCCTCTTCCTGAATCACAAGTCAAACCAAGTTTTTACCAAACATAGAATCTTACTTGTTTCCTGCGTTGCTCCTCTTCCAGTTTGCGCTTAGCTTCCATTTCCGCCTTCTTCCGTCTGTTCTCTTCTTCTTCCTTCAGTCTGCGCTCTTCTTCCTCTTTGCGTTTCTTCTCACGTTCCATCTCTTCCTGTATCTTACGTAGTCTGGCTTGCTCTTCTGCGTTCTTCTGAGCTAGCAGTTTCTTCTGCAACGAGTCCATTTGATTGTCGACTTTCGCGACTATTTGGGCGTAAAGGGCGTCAATAGCAGAAGGTTGAATCTTCCCATCTTTCTGTAACACGAAACGTTACTTTGCGTCTTTCGATAGTCACAACCCACCTTAATTTTATCCATAGTGGCCACTATTTCGTTCTTGAGCTTATTGATGTCATTAGTGGTGCTTTCCTTCTCTTTCTTCAATTGTCCAGCAATTGCTTCCATTTTCTTCAAGTTACCATTAAGATTCTTGATCTTGCTTAGAACCTTAATCCTTGGACCGTACTTCTTCCTGGTCAAGTACCCTCTAACCGTCTTTTGCACCACGATGAGAGCACGCTTGCGATAAATAATCTTATTCTTCACTACAACGAAAAAGTAGAAACTTGTCAAAATTTCCAGTCAGAACTCACGTTTTATGACAGTAAGAGCGCAAAACTGCGCTTTGAGCCAGCGCGACTTCACCAAGAACTTCTTCACATCGGCCACGATAGCCTTCAAATTCTCTGGGTCCGACTTCATGATTTTGTCGAATTCTGCAAACTTGCCAGGTCGGAAGAACACTCGAGATACACCGAACTTGAAGTCTTTGTCTCTCAGCTTCAAACTGTGAAGCATTGCCTAAAAAAAATCATTTATTTTTGGTCGCGCGTAAAATTCGGTTTAGTACTTCACAGAAAATCTTTGGTTCGAGTTTTTTCAACTCTGGGGGAAGGTAATCTTTGTACATGTTATATAAGTCGGCAAATGGCGCCCGACTGGGGTAGCCGTGTTCCATCAGTTCTAACACTGAGGTCATGCCAAGGCACTTAAGTTGCATCAAGCTTAAGGCACCATCGAATTGACCGTCGATCATTTTGTTGTTGGGTTTGATACAACGGATAAAATTGGTCCCCTGGAATTTGACGATGTAAAAGAGAAAAACATTCGGGGACTTACATTTTTCCTTAGCTTCTCCATCAGTTCTAATAGTTGCGTTTTAAATTTGTTGCCTACGCTGATGAAGGTAAGTTTGCCCTTTTGTGCATTGGATGTGGCGAAAAGAGTTTGAATCAGCTTATTCTTGCTGTCTTGTACGATACCTTCTAGGGAAGCGTGCAGGGCATCATTATTCTTATCAAGAAATTGTTTCTAAAACAGGAATATTACTTCAGAAGGGTAGTGATAGTTTGGGACTTACAGTTTGGTAACAGACGGCTCCTGCAAAGTGCCTGATCAAAAATCCTTCGTCGTCTCTTAGGCTGCGGTGCGATTTGAGTTTAGATGACCTAGGTAAAGCTATTCTGTATTCATTCGCCCAGTGCTTATGGATTTCAGATGTGAAGTGGTTGTAGGCAGGCTTTGGCAGTTTAGATTCTTCGTCTAGGATGTTAAGAATACCGTGATTTTTGGTTTCAATCAAGTCTATACAGTCTTGGTTATCCACGAACGAAACCTCTGGAACACTTAGACCTTCACGTCGGTAGAGTTCTTGCTCGAACTTTAGAATTACTTCATTGAAGAACTGTTGGAGTTTCTCGTTACAGTAGTTGATACAGAACTGTTCGAAGCTGTTGACGGTGAAGAATTCTACAACCAGATTATCAATGTGGCACTTTTGAAACGACTAAAACATACCAAATCCTGCAATATCCAGAACACCGATGTAGTAACTAGAGGAAGCTTGGAATGGAATGCTTTGGTTAATCCTGTTCACGATATAATCGAAGAGGTTGCTATAGATAGCTTTAGCTAAGGCATCTCGGGCATTATTAGCCTCGTACACTTTCAAAGGAACCCTGAAATATTATTGGTTTAGTTGGAAGGTAACATCCCCAAAGATACTGACATGATGACGGTTCCTTTAATTCCACCTCTACTACTCTGCATGACTCGAGACTCTAAAGCCTGTCGTAACTCCGTGGCATCAATCCCGAGAAGACTGGACGCAATATCAAGCGCCTTAGCTTTGGAAGGTGAAACCCTGCAGCCGCCTCTTGTATCTTCTGGATTATCTTCAAATTCAATGTTCCCCAAATGAAGAACCGCAGCTACCGTGGTATAAATCTGCAACCTGTCGGCATCACTTAGCCCCAATCTAGACAAAGCTCCATCCAGAGTAGTAAAATCTTCTACATCATCCAGAAGAATATCCCTCAAAGGCCCACTCTTCGCATGGTCTGCACTTTTCTGCCCCGCCGAAAGCTTCTTCTCATTGGCAGATGATGTGAAATACCTCGTGCATCCAGTTTTCAAATACTAGAACAAATACAATCAACACGGTTCTAGTACACATGTGTGAAAAATTACATTATAGTCATCAGGTTTGGTCAACCCTAATTGCTTTCGTAGACTTTCGGGAGCCCCCGCCATCATCATATAGAAAATGTGGTAACTCCTTTCGTCCCCTTGGGGCGAACAAATCCTTGACTTTTCCAGAAGGTAGTGGGAGATGTGACCTCCAGCCACGTGCAAGCTCTTATCAAAATGGACTTCCATGAATTTCCCAAACCGAGAACTGTTGTTGTTTCTGGTGGTCTTGGCGTTACCGAAGGCCTCGAGGACTGGGTTCGCATCTAGAATTTTCTGCTCGATGGGTCCAGCCTGTGCCCCCCAGTTGACGCAGAGGTACTTGAGCAGATGCTTGGTGGACTCGGTTTTGCCGGCGCCTGATTCCCCAGATACTATTATCGATTGCGATTGTTTTAGGACTTTCATGTCTCGGAATGCTTTGTCGGCGACGGCGAAAACGTGAGGCGGCATTTGGCCGAGGGACTTTCCTTGGTAGTTCTTGATGGTGGGGGCGGAGTAGAGTTGTGGAATGTCTTTGTATGGGTTTACGGCGATCAGGATGTTTGCCACGTATGTGTAAATCTTGTTTTGGTAATATCGGATACGTATGTTGTTGAGGAGGGAGCCTTCATTGAGGAAGACCATCTCACCTGGAAGGAGGGTTAAGTGGTTGTTGGGGGTTATGGTAGTACTTACAGTTGTCGTCGTAGTCTTTATCTTTGTCATCTTCTTGTGCTTTGAAAATGTCGCTGAAGGGGAGGACTCTTCTTTGAAATTTCGGATTAATGGGAATCACTTCAGCTCCTTCTACCAGAAGCTCGGATATTCGGCCTAAGATGAACCCTTCGGTGGGGTCCCGTGCCCACACCGTGTCCATTGTTTAGTCTGTAATGGAATGAACATTTTATCGGATTAATGATGATAAGAGGAATTTTGTGACGTTTTCGTGATTAGAAATATCAAGATTGATGTTACGAATTTATTTTTGATGTGGGATAAAGTGGGTGCAGGACCGGCTTGCCGGTAATCCAGAACTTGTGATGCTAAAAATCTGATGACTGTTACACAAAAAAGTAAAAGAAATTAATTATAAACAAAACGAAGGACTTATTAAGAAAAAGTACTTAGTTACCCACGTGAGATCTAGTTAAGTCAAGTCAAGTCAAGTCAAGTCAGCTCAAATCAGGTCAATTAATTATAAATAAACTGAAGAAAATGAGTTAGAAAAAGTATTTTGTTTTTCAGTGCTATAAATTGATATAAAAGCGCAAGGTCAGATCACACCAAGTCAGATCAAGTTAGATCAAATCAGGTAGTTCAATTAATTATAAACAAAAAGAGGGAGCGATTAATTAGAAAAAGAATATTGGTTTTTGGGTACTATAAAATGATCATAAACGCACTGGTAAATCAGGTTAGAACAGGTAAGTTAAAGTCAAATCATGACATGACATGTCAAGTCAAGTCAGATCAGGTCAGATTAGATGAAATCAAGTTAGACCACATGAAGTCAAGTCAGGCCAGTTCAATTAATTAATTGTAACAAAAAGAAGAAAGTGATTAGTTAGAAAAAGCATCGCCTTTTCAGTATTATAAATTGATATCAAATCACATTGGGTTAAGCTCAGCTCAGATCAAGTGAAGTCAGCTATACAGATTTCTTTGAAATAAATTTTCACATAACTTTTCTCTCCTTTAAAACTGAAGAAAATACAGTGTGGATGCTAGAAGGTGACTGTTAATGTTTTTTTTTTGTCAGGTGGGCAACATATTTGAAATTTTATGTTGTCATACCTGATCTCAATTTGAAATTTTAGGCACCAATTCAGTAGCTGCCATCTTTTCATTGGTTTTTAGGCGCGCTCATGTCAAAATTGGCAACTGTGACTGACACGCCCACATTGCTGCCAATAATTCAGAACTGACAACTCAAAAATTCGCTTCAATCATTAAGATTCACCCGGTATAGACCTTTTGCACGGTTAAGATAGTGGAACCTTTGATTATACAGGGTAAATGTAAAGGCCGAATAATATTGTTGTTTGAAAAGTTTTTTTTCTCAAATTTGCTTTGGATATATAGTTAAACATGGCGATTTGATTACAACGTTTTTATTTGTTTATCACTCTTGGTTTGACAGACAGGGCCGCCTACTTTTTTTTATGAAACACCTAGATTTTTTTGACATTTTCTGAAGCAGAATAAAAAACTACTTTCGAAATTATCAACATGTTTATTTTTACTGATACAAAAAAATAGAAAAATATTCACAAAAAAAGACCTAATATTGTAAAATCATACATAATTCATAGTGACATTTTGTTGATCGGTTACATCACTGCGGAGAACAATTTGAACATTTATTGTAGTCCCACTCATAGTTTATTATTTATTAGTATTTTTAAAGATGACGTGATTTTACAATATTAGGTACTTTTTTGTAAATTTTTCTCTGTTTTTTTTTTTGTATCAGTTTAGTACTTCAGTAAACATAAACATGTTGATAATTTCTGAAATGTCAAAAAATCTGGGTCTTCTATTAAAAAAAAAGTAGGCGATCATGTGTGTCAAACCGTAAACGTTAAAAAAAGGAAAAATATTTTAATCAAATCGCCGTCCACACCAAATTTCCAAAAAAAAAGCTTCTCAAATAATAAAGTTATTCAATCGTTCCGGGACTTTGTAATAAGCCTGTATACACTATTATTAATTAAAGAGTGGAACCAATCAAGTGAAAACAATTGTAATAAGTATTTGTTCGCACTCAAATTTAAGTTGGCGACAATGAATTTTTTATCCAGATGCGATTGGTGGATTTCGTGACACCAAATTTAAAATGTATGGAAAATGAAGTGCAATTATTGGAATTTAGACAATAATTTATATTGAATTCGTACATTTTAATAAATAAATTTCACAGTAACTTCTTGGTTTGCTATTTGTTGATCACTAAACAACAAAACTCATCTGTCTAGCTAGACAGTACCGAATGAATCTAAAATGTTGTCTAAATTGCACCTAAAATTGGTGGTAGTTAATTTTTGACAGAAATATACTTTGAAAAACATTTTAATAATCAAAAAACTGTTAAAAACAAATTAACGAAAATATATAAGTAATCAAAATTAATTAATGGAAAAGTATCACTATGAATGTTAAATAATGTTAACTGTATCACATCTGGAACTGCAGCATCTGGGGCATAATAAAACTTGATGTTCCCACATTTTAAATTTCGTGAAATTCACCAAACTAGTGTTTAAATTAAGAGATTCACTGTTGCCAACTTAAATTTGAGCGCGAACAAATACTATAATTTTTTTCACTTGATTGGTCCCACTGAATCGTCAATAATAATTAAACATAAATTATATTGTCTGAATAAATCACTAATGTGGTCTTTTAGACACTACTTATATAAAACTGGAATAAGTAAGTAATTTAAGAATACAGTAATTCTATTTAAGGTGTATTTCTCAATGTAGTTTAACCATGAGTTTAACAGTTTTTGGAGCTGACGTCATCAAATTTTGGCCGGGAGTGTTGGTGAGATTCTATAATTTTTAAATTTATATATTTCACCAACATTTCGAAAACTTAGCGCACATTTTATGTTAGTAATTGCACACTGCAGTAGGAAAAAGTGATATTTAATGTGTAAAATTTAGAATGATTGTTAAACCACAGGTAAAGAAGTTTATTATGCGGATTCAAATGATATTTACATAGCAATATTTTGAGATGACGAAATCAGTTTGTGGAAAAGATGAATCGAGAAATGTTTAACAATCTTTATTATAATTTTAAAATATACCTGAAACTTGAACAAACCCTGCTATTTTCGGAGATTAACAATGACTGTTTCAGTTGGTAGCAACAAATTTTGCTTGAGATTGGTAGAACTGTTACTCCTTAACTTAAATCAAACTTTGTTTTCGATTATTATTATTAAAATATCATAACTTATAAAACACACTGCTTCAGTGTTACCAAATGTAGAATAACACAAAAAAGCACCCGAAAAAATTGACGTTAAAAAGATTTGAGTACAATTTCATTTAGTAAACACGAATAACCGATTTTTTTTATCGAATTCGGACCCCAGCCACAAAGAGATAAATTCGACCCTGCCTGAACATATCATGCACAGGATTTTCCAGTCGTTGAATATGTATGAAAGCAATAAACTGGATCGTTTGGTGCAGGTACAAGATAAAGGGATTTGAATGTGTGTACACTGATCAATAACCAAATTAAGCTTATCCACCTTTCATATCACACAAAATGAATAATAGAACACGTTCCTTGGATGTACAGCGATAAACACCTACTTTTCGAGTAGTACAATGATAGTGCAATACACTTAGGGAGCCAGAAACGGTACACTCAGAAAAATAATCGCACAAAAGCAACTTTTCCACTTAGACACAAAGGAAACCATATGCTACGAACAGTTAGAGGGTACCGGTATTTGCGACCTACTAAGTGAATATACCTGAGATTTATCTCGTATCAGACCGTGCATAGGCTAATTAAACTTTTTTTATCATTTTTGTGAGTCAGAGGATCGTAAATTTAGCTCTAGTTGGTGTGTTTCACCAAAATTAAATTACCTGCAACACTAGATTCTCTGTTTCTATGTGCGGTAAGAGGAAGACATTCAACTGTCTCTGCTATACAGGGAAAACCAATATTCGAGGTGATAGTGTAAGAGTTGACAAATCAAATCAATATCATCAGTACTTACGTTCTTAATTGTCTGATTTGTGCCATGTGATTTTGATTGATTGCTTTTGAAGGTAATCTCGAAATCTCTGTTAGAAGCTTGAGAAAGTATAATTCTCTGGAATTATGCTTATTCAGTGTTGCATCATGCTAATAATGGCAATGACAACACTGTGTCGAGAAAGGTTACATGAGCGTTCACACTATTGTCAGTCTAATCAGCATTTTGTGGAGCTTATTCGTCGCTTAATTTTTAAATAAGTACCTGCGTAAGCAGAATTAAGTTAATTATACATTTAACGGAATAAACAGTCGCTTCATTTTAATACTTTCAAACTTTTCCAAAGTGGTGGTTTTTTGAGCCACCGGAACTGGGTCGAACCACGGTTCGAACACATGCTGTGTCAGATGACAAATTCCAGGTTCAAGATGGGCACAGATGTTTAAAGCTGTAAAATCGATTGACATTTCTATATCTTCCTCGGTAGGTTAGTTAAAATCATGAATTATTTATTTACTACGTTATTATCGTGCAAGCATTTATCGCAAACGTTATTTTACTGCTTTTGATAGTTTCAAGCGGTGCGAGTGGATTGCGAAAAAGGTTTGCGTGCAAATCTGGAGTTAACAAGAAACGATGGGGAAATTTATTGTGGTTAAAAGAACAAAATGACGTTGTGAAATGCAACTTTATTGCTGTACTAAAAAGTTTTGCGATTATTTTTCTGATATTACACAGCAGTTCGTTTCATTTTTAAATAGAACTTCATAATAAATTTATCAATTTGGGTTGGATCATCGATAAAATTACCTGCATTTAGCAGATCTAAATAATTTATTTTTGCAACATGTGATAGGTTTTGATTAGATAAAACACATGATGTTGATAAAGTTTTGCGAATTATACGACAGGTGGTAGACGGCTAAAGGAAGGTAATTAATTCTCAAGAAACGTTTTGCTCGTTTCTGAAGAAATCAATTGGTTGTAATTATTTCAGATAATCGAATCTTGGAATTTTTTGATCTCAGTTTTTTGAAATAGACGAATAAATCGATTTTATTTTATATTACTTATCCACAAAGTTTGCTCATTTCTGCGATAAGCTGTAAGTTTGATGATTCAAAGTTAATATATTTCAAAACAACCTGAATAAAAATAA